GCTGCGGCTTTCAGTGAGGACGGGTGGCCTCGCAGCACTACACCACTTCCCTTTCATACACATTGGGCCCTGATCATCCTACTCAAAAAGGGTTAAACCCTGCAACCAGAGCATACCCCTGCCTATTGATTGGCTCCAGCTGTGTAGAAGAAGGCAAAGCCAGCACTGGACACACCCAATTTGGTTACCAGTCAGCTCCCTGTTACAGCTGGGGGATTGTGTGTGCCAGTGAGTGTACCAGAGATGTACGGACCGATCCTATGATCAGAGACTGCTGGCCACCCGGGTTCCTGGGCTAATGACATCTCTTCCCATCCCAGGGGGAGCCAACACTTTACTGATATATATATATGTACTAATTGGTCATGTGTGTGGACAGGCTGTGAGACAAATGTGTGCGAGCAAAGATACCATCATTCCCTGTTAACTATGCAGAGAAATGAAGAATTCATACAAGAGGCCTATAGGCCACACAGAGAGAGTGCCAGCCTGTGCTGCACCCAGGCGCCCCTAGGTGGCAGTGTGCCCTAGGCGGCTGCCTAGTTTGCCTAGTGGAAGCACCTACCCTGACCGCATGTAATAATTTGTGGTGAATCTAGGCAGATTGCATCTCACTGAAATCTGTTTATAATTTGTGTATAATAATAGCAACATATCTAACATGCATATTAAGCAACATCTGTGCAATGGTGATATTTGAACTGGTATTCAATAAATGTTTGGCAAGGAAATTACAACAGCTTTAGGAAAGTAATGTTTAAGCCACCCAAAAAACCACTTAGATTTGCAGACTGCGAAGGAGTACATACTTTTCTACACCTTGGTATCTAGGTTACTTGCTCCTCTTTTTCCTTATTTATTCTGATCACTACTACCCTGTTTCAGAGTTCATTTGACTTACAGTGTAGTTTCATGTGGAAACGCCAAACCACATGCTCCCCAATTTGTGAATAGTAGTTCACTAACCAGCTCTCTTTCTACAGGGGTATGAGAATTATAATTTTGATACCTCTACTTTCACTTCCCTCCTTTTCTTTACTTAAATGTTCACGGTTTCTTTTACTGCTTCTATGACTATTCTGGATAATAACTGATTTATCACTTTGTATATATCTTATGTGGGAGACTACAGTGTACTTCTTGTATGTGTATCTATTTACTTTGCTATGGATGAAGTATAATGTAACTATACATATACCATACTTGGCTGATGCCCCTGGAAGCTAGAAATTAGTGGAGTAGACATTGCTACTCCAGTGATCTTTACTTGCTTCGTGTGGCTTGCCTGGGGCATTGTGAACACAGAAGGTTGGCTGCTCAGCACAGACACCAGTCAGAAAATACTTTTGCATCTTTTTAATGAATGAAAAGCATTTCTCTGATTGGACAATGTGGAGAGCGTGATATCATTTCCCTACCTTAACACCTTCTCCAACTACAGAAAGCTTTGCACTCATTGAGAAAATCAAAGCATTCTCTGAATTGCACCCATGCTGAGCAGCCAACCCCCTGTCTTCAGAATGTAGGGCATCCTCTTGGCTTAGGACTCACAAGCAAGTAGAGATCATTGGCCAGGTATGGTATATGCTTCTTTACCCTAGGTTCACATCTGTGTGGGTGGTGCCGCTGTGGATCCGTGCGAAAATCCATGCAGCCGCACCACCCGCACAGAGAAATGCGAAACCACACCACCCGCGCTGGAAAATGCAACCATACTGGGAACCGAGATTCCCGTGCGGGCTGCGTTTTCCAAAGAAGTGCAGGGACTTCTTTCCTGCATGTCACGTACACGGGAGTCCATGGGTTCTCGTGCCCATGCAAAACACAGCCCGCACGGCCGCATAGATGTGAACCGGGGGTTAAAGAGGGTTTGCACACCAAACAGGATTCAATTCTGTTCACACACTTATTTCAATTTAATATTCTTCAACTGGAAATCTAGTTACATTGGGTCAAGAGCCACACATTTTGCAGATTTAGAATTGGTGGTCAGTTGATTTCTTTGGATAATCCATCATGTTACTGTCTTAACTCTCTGGTAAATAAGTTAACTTGATGCCTTGCAAATTAGGATTTTGCTATTAAAAACATTGTTCAAATTTAAGGTAATTTACCCTCTGCACCAACTAAGAGGGAAATATATAATTTTCTCAATCGTCTAGGGCAAATACCTGGTTAATGTATGCAAGTCTAGCAAGCAAGTTGCCTAGATTTACCTACTTTTAAATAGTATTCATCTTTTTTATTCTTAGGCTCTAGTCTAGTTTATGCCTTGTATTCTCATGTTGTAGAAAATATTGTTTGTGTTTGATAAATAACTGCTGGTATATTTAACTACAGCCAATCTTAATTTTCACTAGTTTTCTTGGCATACTTTATATCCTTTGAATATAATTTCACCTTTCACTTTATACATCTTGGAATTAATATTTGTAAGCGACAGATATTACAGACAACCAACTCTTTATGAAATATAGTCAGGTTATTCAGTACAAATGGAACAAACTTCATTTTCATTTCAGATCAAAGTTGCAATCTTTTTGAAGTTTAGCTATTTGATAAAAAAGTGTTTTTTTTTTTTACTAAGTTAATAGGACATGGGGATCTTTTATTAAACTGCAAAATGTTATTAATATTGCAGAATTAGCTTGAAAGAAATATGTGAAATGACACCGGAAATTAATTAGATTATTTCATCATTCTTTTAAATTATAAACTTTGATACACTTGCATAGATATATAGGTACATTGATAAAAAGGCACAAAGACAAACAGAATTTTAATGAGTACGAAGCTTTTATCTACTATCATTTTGTGACTTAATTTTGGCTGTTTATACTGCCTATTGATTGCTGTAGAAACCTGCTGTTTTAATGTTGTTATTGATATTCTCCCTGGGTTTTCTTCTAATTCTACCATTGATATTACCTTGATTGGATTTAGTTTATTTGAATTGCCTGTAGGTTTTCGTCTCTTGAGTTTTTCACTGTTTATAGACATACAAAGATAAAACCTCACTTTTCATCTAAAATCCTTGAGAGAATGCAACAGATAGACATATTTAGAACATTAAAACAACAATCACAAGAAGCAAGCAGCACTTCTCACCTCATCTATATTAGACCAATATAGTTTACACAGTACTTTTTGTCTGATTTGCAGACTTCTGATCTAGTTAAATTTACTTTTCTTTTTAAAGTACAGCATTATTTGTACAGAATTTTTTGTCATAATTCCACAGATGGGTGGGTTTCATGAATGATACTGTTGCTCACCCTTTAGGAAATTTTCTAGGAGGGAGGAATATAAGAAAGTCGAAATAAGACATACCAACATCCAAATATGTAAAATCAACTTGCTGTCTTTAAAAACACTTCAGCTCTGTAAAATTGGGGGCATTGTCTGCAGTCATACAGAAGAGCTACTTGCCTGTTGCTGGAAAGCCTTAACTATTCTTTCAGACACAATGTCCATTCTCACTGAAAAAAAAAAGGTGAACTAAGTAGTAAGTGAATGAAAAGCTATGATTTATTGTATTTTATTAATTTATGTATATGTATATATATATATATATTTTTTTTTTTTTTTTTTTTTTTTTGGGGGGGGTAAAGAGTAAATAAACAAGATCTCAATAAACAATGGGGGTGATTTATTTAAACTGGAGAGTGCATGGTATCCAAACAGCTACTAACTTCAACTTGTTCAATCAAGCTTTGACAATGAAACCTCTCTAATTTTTGTAAGTGTACAAGTGTATATAAAAATCTCACTTGAGTTTCCACTGCTCATTTCTGCAATTATCCTGTTCCTAATCCTCTTCAGAGAACTCATGACCTACCTGGGGGACACACTGACTGTGGTGGCAGCCTGCAGATACATTAAAAATGTGCCTCTGTGAAAATGCTATGAGAGAAGATCACAAGCTTTGTTCTGGAAGCTCCCCAAGATTGCAGCAGGCAGGAGAAGAAATGCAGCTCTTCTGTGGACTGCCAGCCTTCAGAATTTGACATATTTTATGAGACTCCAGGGATTGTTAACCCTTTTCCATAGAGTTCTCTGCTCAGAGACACTATTCCAGATCTCTTCACTTTGCATAAGTGTAAACCCTGCCTCACTTTTCCCTATACTCACATAGTAGCAGGGCCCAGTATTGTCGCAGTGCCAAGTTCCATAGTTACATAGATAGTCTGGCTGAAAAAAGACAAAAGTCCATCCAGTTCAACCATTAAAAAAAAAAAAGTTATAATCCTACACCCCACAGTTGATCCAGAGGAAGGCAAAAAACCCCAGCAAAGCATGATCCAATTTCCTCCTGCAGGGAAAAAATTCCTTCCTGATCCCCCGAGAGGCAATCGGATATTCCCTGAATCAACTTTACCTATAAATGTTAGTATCCAGTTATATTCTGTGTATCTAAGGAAGAATCCAGGCCATTTTTAAAGTAATCCACTGAGCTGGCCAGAACCAAGTCTTGAGGGAGTCTATTCCACATTTTCACAGCTCTCACTGTGAAGAAACATTTTCGTGTTTGGAGATTAAATTTCCTTTCCTCCAGACATAAAGAGTGCCTCCTTGTCCTCTGTGATGAACTCAGGGTGAATAGCTCTACACCGAGTTCACTATATGAACCACTGATGTATTTATACATGTTGATCATATCCCCCCTTAATCTCCTATTCTCAAGAGAGAATAAATTCAGTTCCTCTAATATTTCCTCATAGCTGAGCTCCTCCATGCTTCTTATCAGTTTGGTTGCCCTTCTCTGTACTTTCTCCAGTTCCCCAATGTTCTTTTTGTGAATTGGTGCCCAAAACTGAACTGCATATTCCAGATGAGGTATTACTAATGATTTGTACAGGGGTAATATGATATCTCTCTCTCTGGAGTCTATACCTCTTTTAATACAAGAGAGGATTTTACTCGCTTTAGAAACTGCAGCTTGAGATCTAACCAGAACTCCCAGATCCTTCTCCACCAGGGGCAGACTGACAACTCATAGGCCCCCCAGGCAATAGGGGATCATGGGGCCCCTGTGTCCTTGCCCAAACTTAAAAAAGCCTATGAAAAAGGTACCAGGGGCATCTCATGGAGCCCGCTACTGACCCCGGGCCCTCGGGCAGTGCCCAAGTTTCCAAATGGTCTGTTCTCCGCCATTGATTCCCCCAGTTGTACCCCCCTAGTATGTATGATGCATGCATATTCTTAGCCCCCAAGTGCATAATCTTACATTTATCAACATTAAACCTCATTTGCCACATAGTTGCCCAATTAAACAGTGCATTGAGGTCGGCTTGTAAGTTGGAGACATCCTGTAAGGACGTTATTCCACTGCATAGCTTGATGTCATCTGCAAAGACTGAAATGGGATTTTTAATCCCAGACCCTATAGCATTTATAAATATATTAAAAAGTACGGGTCCCAACACTGAACCTTGGGGTACACCACTGACAACCCTAGACCATGCAGAGTATGAATCATTAACCACTACTCTTTGGATACGATCTTTTAGCCAGTTTTCTATCCATTTACATATGGATTTTTCTAAGCCCGTAGACTTTATCTTACACATTAGCCTTGTGTGGGATACTGTGTGAAACACTTTTGCAAAATCCAAGTATACCACGTCCACTGCCACCCCTCTGTCCAAGGTTTTGCTCACCCCCTCATAAAAAGAAATCAGATTTGTTTGACAACTTCTGTCTTTCATGAATCCATGCTGTCTGTTGCTTAAAATATTTTTTTACCAGCAAGAACTCATCTATGTGGTCTTTTATTAAACTCTCCAGTATATTCCCAACTATAGAAGTTAAACTAACAGGTCTATAATTACTTGGTAAAGATTTTGACCCCTTTTTAAATATTGGCCCTACATTGGCCTTACGCCAATCCAGTGGTACTATGCCAGTCATTAAAGAGTCCCTAAAAATTTAGAAGCAATGGCTTTGAAATGACAGCGCTCAATTTTTTAAGGACCCGTGGGTGTATGCCATCCGGTCAAGGTGCTTTATTCACCTTTTATACTGTCTAAATATTTTTTGATCATATCAGTTGTGAGCCAAGGTGGATCATCTGGAGCTGTGTCAATACCTTGCCCATTATGGACAAGAGCTCCCCCATGCTCCTTTGTATACACAGAGCAGAAGAAGGTATTTAATAAATTTGTTTTCTCTTTGTCCCCAGACATCCACTCTAGATTATTTTGTAAAGGGCCTACATGCTTGGACCAGACCTTTTTACTATTAATATATCTGAAGAATTTTTTGGGGTTGGTCCTGCTATCTTTTGCAATCTGTCATTCATTTTAAAATTTTGCTGCCTTTATTTCCTTTTTGCATATTCTGTTATATTCTTTGTAATGTTTAAACGATTATAGCATTCCTTCATTTTTATATTTAATACAAGCTATTCTCTTATTATCTATAGCTTTTTTAGCTTTGGCCGTAAGCCACATAGGTTTAATTTTTAGCCTTTTAAACTTGTTGCCCATGGGAATATATTTTGCAGTGTGTTCACATTCAGTCTTTTTGAAGAACTCCCATTTTTATGTTGTGTTCATCAATGCCAATATTTCCTCCCAGTCTATGTCTTGGAGAACAGCTCTCAGCTTTGCAAAATTAGCTCTCTTAAAATTGAGTGTTTTTATTTTTCCCGTATGTGCCTGCTGTTTACAGCTAACAATAAATTAAATCATGCTATGGTCACTGCTACCCAGATGTTCTTTTATATGAACATTCGTAATAAGCTTTTCATGGCTTGAGATTACCAGGTCCAGCAGCGCATCATTCCAAGTAGGGGCTTCTATGAACTGTACCATAAAATTGTCCTGTAGTAGGTTTAAAATTTTTTGCCTTTTAACTGTTCCTACAGTAACATTACTCCAGTCAATTTCCGGGTAGTTAAAATCCCCCATTATTATCACTGTCCCAGCCCTTGCAGCCCTTTCAATCTGTGCAAGGAGCTGAGTCTCCACCTCATTAACACTGGGAGGCCTATAACAAACTCCAATGATTACCATTGTAGTACGCACCCCCATGTCCAGTTCCACCCATAATACTTCAGCCTCATCACACTCTCCATCAACTAGGTCCTCTTTCACACTTGGTCTGAGATCACTTCTCACATAAAGACAGACATTGACACCTTTCCTATTTACCCTGTCTCTCCGAAAGAGAACAGAGCCAGGAATATTAATGGCCCAGTCATGTGAAGAATGAAGCCAAGATTCAACAATATCAATTAAATCATAGCTCTCTTCATGCAGCAAAGCTTCCAACTCACCTATTCTGCTTGGCAGACTTCTGGCATTGGTGAACAAACATTTTAATTAGTTGACACCTTGTTTGCATATTTTTTATTTTCATACAAATGGTACCAATTCCACTTGTTGTTGGTAACATGGGAACCTTCTTATCTGGCATAGCCTTCCCCCCATCTTTCCCCATTCCACCCACCAATATGTACTGACCCCTGTCTGATCTATCTACCCCGTTATATTCTAATTCTCCCTCCCCCCTTGATCCTAGTTTAAATACTACTCCAGCGGTCCCATAAAACTCTCCCCTAGCACAGCAGACCCCCTTCCATTTAGGTGCAAACCATCTCTAGCATATCAGGGTCAGTCAGGGTGCATGCATTTGAGAGTCCCAGTATTGAATATGTAAATCAGGCATAGAGATACAGTACAACAACTGAATCTCTGATTCTATCTCTGAATGTGGAATGGATAGATGATTGAGAGCTCCCCTTACATTCATAGATCCTGTTGACTGGCTTCTATGAATGGATGATTGGGCAGGAAAGGGCAGGCATAGTTGAGCTCTCTTGATGAGAGCTTCAGAACACCCTTTATCCATAATAACCCTTACCACACCAAAAGATTGCAGGGTGCAGGGGGCTGGAAAGATGAAGATTTCTCTTAAAACATTAGGAATCAGCACAAGGGACACATCATACTAACTGTAATTTATGTTCCTTGTGCTGTTTTTTTATGGTTTTAATTTAGGCTAAATTTAGGTTTTTACCTTGAAGTGGATTTTAAGGCAAAAGGTTTTGACATTGCTCTCAATCCAGCACTGGCCCCACTGGCAGCTTCATTCTGTTCTCTTCCTGCATTAACAGGCTTTATGGAGAGCAGCAGGAGCCATTGAGAGCAGGAGGTGGGACCAAGCTGCACTATGGACACTTTTTTACTTCATGACACTGAGGAACATCTAAAGAGGAGTGAGCAGGTGATCCTGAGCAGCTGAAGGAGGGAGAGATCCCTGCAAGGATAACGAGTGTATAAGGAGAGAAGCATTGTGGAGTACATAGGAGGTATCCAACATCCATTCCATGCTGCAGCAAATTCTAGCAGGTTCCATGTATGTGAACAAAAAGTGTATTAAGCCTATCTGTTAGGCTTGTAAGGAGGTGAGCACACATCTTTAATGATTTAAGGATTCACGAAAAGTCAAATTAATGTGTTTGGATCACGTCATCACAAAAATGTTTTACATTTTTTTTGGACTATTATTTGAATAATGGGGCTGATTTTTATTTAGATTTTTATTTGATTCACATCATATTTAATTTGACATTTATTTATTTATGGTATATGGTTTGATTTTTATGGATACAATTTGAAGTCACTAATTTATCAGTTGTTGTAGGAGATTGGGAGTGCAACATTTTTTTAGTTGTAAGGTTTGTTACCACAGTTTGAGTATGTGATTAATGTTAGCGATCCAGAGGAATTATTTTAGTGGCTCGCAAGTTACACGCACATATTTTTTAGAGTATTCTTGTGACTTCATCAGAGCACTGGTTAAAGCTTGTAGGAGGAGTTTTCTTTCTGCTTTAGGAGGATGTGAAACCTCTGACTCTCTATCTGAACAGTGCTGATTGGTCCTGTGCTGATCACATGTACCCTCCCAAGGAAAAAAAAAAACCTGTCTAGCAATACGCACCAAACTGAGCATGTGCATGTGACCACAGGTTCAGTCTGTATCAGGTGGTCATTTCAACAAGCGGGGCAGAGAAGAAAGTATCAAACAGCCTTTTTACACAATGCAGAGGATTAACCTTTTAGGTTCCACAGTGAGTATAACAAGCATGCTTTACTGCATGTAGAGACTTATTTTACTGTTGTGGGTTTAGTAACACTTTAAGCCAGGCATGCAGTCAGGAGGGTGTGCTTAGCTGAGAAAATCCATCTTCCCCTCCTTCAGATGAAAGGAAAAAAATGCACATGAAGACCCCTGGGATGTATGACTTCTTTTTTGCCTAGGCCAGAAAGCAGGAAGCAACTACAAAAATGTGAAACAAATAAATAAATAAAGAAAATATAATACACCTTTCTATCTATTTAGCAATGCTAGCAGCATAAGGATTAAAAAGTAGTTAATGTTGATTGAGAGAGTTTAGTTCTGCTTTAAGTGAGAAAACTATCTATGGATATCTAAATGGCAGTTGTATATTAGTTGTGAGGCATTATTTATTTATTTATTATTTATTTATTTCAGGTACTTATATAGCGCCGTCAATTTACGCAGCAGTTTACATATATATTGTACATTCACATCAATCCCTAACCCTCAAGGGGTGTATAATCTAAGGTATGCAGGGAGATTTCTAAATCAGCCTTCTAATTTGGAAGAGCCTAAATGTAAGCAAAGCACACTGGTTATGCTTGACAAAACATATGGTATTAATGACCAGATTTGCATAACAATTTAAGGCTGTCTTCACATTTGTCTGTTGTGGTAATGCACAGCACAATTTGCACATTAATGCATGGTACTATGTGGGTTGCATTGCAGTGTCATTCATTCAGAATCACTATTCTGTGTAATCTGTGTATCTTTAATCAATCACAATTCTGTGTAAACAGCTTTGGGAAAAGTAAACATTAAATATTGCCATGCACATTGATATTCTCTGATGTACATGGATCTAGCACCAGAAGATAAAACATAATACAGGGCATAGAAGAGAAGACTGTCCATGTGGTTTTCTTTAGGGTCAGAAGTATCAAATCTGTTCTCACAGAAATCTGCAGCCTGCTTTCTGTCCATTATATTGAACAGTGCAAAACCAATTCTAATTGACTGTTTTTAAATACTACTTTTCAACTGTCATTAAATAAAAATGGGTCATTTGTTTTTAAAATCAATTTGCAGAGTAAAATTAGATCTTTACAAGCTGTGATACCTTGCAATCAGTTATCACACTACATTTATCATAGTCCACTAATGATTTCATTTTCACAAGGGTCAATAAAACTACCAAATTTT